GTGGCCATAAGGCCAATGGGACTCCACTGCAGAGTGTGGCCCAGCAGGGCAGGGAGGTTCTCCTGCCCTCTGCTCTGCCCTGACGAGGGCACAGGTGCGCTCAGCACTGCTCCCTTCAGCTGAGCTCTCTCCTGCAGTTACCCCGGGCTGCTCATCGTGCCGCAGAGCATCCAGGACAACACCATCCAGCGCATCTCCCGCTGTTACCGCCAGAACCGCTTCCCTGTGGTGTGCTGGCGCAACTCCCGCACCAAAGCCGTGCTGCTGCGTTCGGGGGGGCTGCATGGGAAAGGTGTCGTGGGCCTCTTCAAGTCACAGAACGCTCCCACTGCAGGTACCCATCCCCTCACCCCATCCTGGAGCAGTGCCCCATCTCTTCTCCCTGCCCTGGCGATGCGGTGACGCTGCCTGCTTTCCCCCAGGCCCCTCGCAGACGGACTCCACCAGTTTGGAGCAGGAGAAATACCTGCAGGCTGTCATCAATTCCATGCCCCACTATGCCGACGCCGGCGGGCGTAACACGCTCAGTGGCTTCACCTCTGCTCACATGAGCAGTGCAGGTGAGTGGGATCGGCTCGGGGGCTGCGGGAGGCTCCTGCCCAGGGACCCCCGGGGTCCGGTGCATCCCACAGTTGGAGCTACTGGGTCCCACATCCGTGATTGAATCAGCTCTGTGGAGCACCTCCCTAAGGCCGGAGGTGGGGATGGGGTTTGGGGAACCCATTGGCCCTACATCTGGGAGCTCCAGGTTGAATCCTGATCCGGGGGGGGTGAGCTGGGGTGGAGCAGACCCCGAAGCCAAGCTCTTGCACCCAAGCTGGAGCATGGGGTCTGGCGCAGGATGCTGTGGTAAGTGTTGTGTCCTGTGCTGTCTGAGCGGCTCTGGCCACGCTCCATTATCATCCGTTGCCAGTCCCTGCCATCCCACCCCATCATTGCTACACTGAGGCCAAAGGGATCGTGGGAGCACCCAGCAAGGGGCTCCTTGCTGCAGGAAGAAAGGGAGTTGTGGTCACAGAGGGATGGTGCTGGGGTTTGGAGAAGCACCGGGTGCTTCACCCGGTCCAAAGTGCCTGCATAGCGCTGGGGCAGAGCTGCTGGGGCAAAGCTGCTGGGGCAGAGCTGCTGGTGCTGAGGTCTCTGGGTGCTGTTGTGCTGTGGCTCCTGCTTGGTGGCCCCCGGTGCAGCCCCGTGCTGTCCCGCTTGCCTCTGAGTTCTTTCCATGCCCCTTCCCCTCCGAACTGAGGGGGAGCACAGCAAGGTGGGTCCCGCAGCATGCAGGCTGGGAGCTGACGTTCTGTTGGTGCTGCAGATTTCTCCGACAAGAGGCAGCCTAAGCTGGGATCGCTCATGAAGCAGGTGATGGGAGGGAAGGACGAAGGGCCCGGTACTATTAGCCGTGGAGGTGAGGACGTGCGGTGAGCGCTGCCTCCCGGGCAGCAGCTGTAGAGTAGATGCTCCCCCCTGCGCTCCCCCAGAGCTCCAGGGTGTGGGACAGCTGCAGGGCGGGCGGGAGGGACCGTCTGCAGCCCCCCCCGTGCCATCTCCATCCCATTCCTGTGTGCCATCTCCATCCCATACCTGTCTCCATCTCATCACCCCCTTCCCTTCCACCCATACCCACGCAGCGAGGGAGCGTTGGTTCCGCTCCTCTCCGCCCTCTCTGAGGCCGCTTTCATCCTGTGCCCCCCAGGGCTGGGTCACAGAGCCAGGGTCATCACCCTGTCCACCCCCAAGTGCGTGTCGCCGAAGGGCCGCGAGTCGCCCCGAGGTAGGGACCCGCCGGGCCTTAACCCCGCCGGCTGCTAACCCACCGACTGACCCACACCCCCCACACACCACTAACAACACCCAGTAACACCATAACCGCACCACCCGAGCGCGGTGCCGGCGGTAAGTACTGCCCCACACCGCCCCGCAGGTTTGCTTTGGGCTCTGCACGCTTCTGGGTGGTGGTGGTGGAGGAGAGGGGCTGGCCGCAGGGCACGGCATCGGCGTGGGGCACTGCCTGCACATCACAGCACCCAGCAGAGAAAGGAGCGAAAGCAAACCTGCACCAAACCTGCACCAAACCTCGCATGCGTTCTGTGGGTGCTGGCGTGTGGTCGGGGCGCTCGGCCGTCGCTCCACGGAGAGCTGCTCACCCATCCTGGTGGCCCCGAACGTCCCGTTTCTGGGACCCCCTCAGTGACAGCAGCTGTCCTGCAGGCAAATGGGGCAGCATCCGGGCCAGTGGGCGTATGAGCAGCTATGCCCTGAACGTGGAGATCGGCTCACGGCTGGCTGGGAAGGACCTGCTGGGTGCCCAGCACAATGGCGCGCCCGCCGAGGCCAGCTTCCTGCGTCAGCACCGCGCCTCGCTCTACATCATCGGGGACAAGTCGCAGCTGAAGGTACCTCCTGAAAGGACGTTGTGGCAAAGGGGGGGTCGGCCTCTGCTCCCAGGGATGAGAGGGGATGGGATCACGGTGCGCTGGGGAGGTTCAGGTTGGAGATTGGGAACAACCTCAGCTCTGGCACAGGATGCCCAGGGCAGTGGGGAGTCCCCGTCCCTGGGGGGTGTTGAAGGATTTGGGGACGTGGTCATTGGACGTGGTAGGGATGGGTTGGGGTTGGACTGGTGAGGGCTTCTCTCACCTGAACGATGCTCTGCGCCCTCAGGGGGTGAAGCCAGACCCGCTGCAGCACTGGGAGGTGGTGCCCATCGAGGTGTTTGACGTGCGGCAGGTGAAGGCCAGCTTCAAGAAGCTGATGAAGGCCTGTGTGCCTGGCTGCCCCTCCACAGACCCCAACGTCGCCTACCTGCGCTCCCTGGAGGAGTCTGAGTGGCTCTCACAGGTCAGTGGCTCCTGGGGGCTGTGCAGATCCCAATCCATGCCTGGCACAGGGGCTGCAGTTGGCTGCTGCAGGGCTGTGGGCTTTTGGACTCCCTTCCAACCCAACCATTTTATGGGATTTTGACCTTTGAGGACCCTCCCAACCCAACTATGGGTCTTTGGTCTTTAAGGACCCTTCCAACCCAACCATTCTATAGGTCTATGATCTTTAAGAACCCTTCCAACCCAACCATTCAGTGGGTTTGTGGTCTTTAAGTCCCTTCTAACCCAACCGTTCCATGAGTCTGTGACCTTTAAGGACCCTTCCAACCCAACCATTCTATGGGAATTTGACCTTTAAGGACCCTTCCAACCCAACCATTCTATGGGACTTTGAGTGTTGAGGACCCTTCCAACCCAACCATTCCTGTCTGTGACCTTCAAGGACCCTTCCAACCCAACCATTCTATGGGACTTGAGGACCCTTCCAACACAACTGTTCAGTGGCTCTGAAGTATAAGCAAGCCATCTTATGGTCCTGTGGCTCTGTGATCTTTAAGGACCTTTCCAACCCATCCATGCCGTGATTCTGTGAACCAAAGGCTGCAGGCAGGGTCTGGGTGCTCCCTGTGGCATCGCTCAGCACAGGGTGGGAGGACACAAAGCAGGCAAGGCCACTAAGAGGAACGAAGATGAAGTGACCCAGAAAGTGTGTGTGCCAGCAGCTGCTTCAGAACTCCATTCAGCTTCAGAGCTGTGGGGCCCAGCCCCTCTGGCTGCTGGGCTGCCCACAGCTGTGTTCTGCAGATCCTTTGTGCTCTGCATCGTTTGGCTCAGCTGTTTCCAGGAAAAGGGGCTGTTTCGCCTCGCGTCCAGAGGTTTCCTGCTCCTGAGGAGCTCCTGGTTCTCTTGTTGGCAGATCCATAAGATCCTGCAGATTTCAGTGCTGGTGGTGGAGCTCCTGGACACGGGTTCCTCTGTGCTTGTCAGCCTGGAGGACGGCTGGGACATCACCACACAGGTAGGAGCCCTGCAGCCACTGGATGCTATGCCTGTCTGTTTTAAGCTAAAAGAGGGGAAATTTAGGTAAGATTTTAGGGGGGAATTCTTCACTATGAGAGCAGTGCAGCCCTGGCACTGCTGTCCGGATCTATGGGTGCCCCATCCCTGGAGGTGCCTGAGGCCATGGATGAGGCCCTAGGCAGCCTGAGCTGGTGGGGAATGCCCAGTCCATGGCAGGGGTGGGGCTGGGGGGGGTTACTTCCAACCCAGCCAATCTGGGATCCTATGCCTCTGTGATCCATAAGCACCCTTCCAACCCACCTATTCTGGGATCCTATGGCTCTGTGATCCATGAAGTCCCTTCCACCCCAACCATTCTGGGATTATATGGCTCCGTGATCCATGAAGTCCCTCCCAACCCAACCAATCTGGGATCCTATGGCTCTGTGATCCATAAGGACCCTTCCAACCCAACCAATCTGGGATCCTATGGCTCTGTGATCCATAAGGTCCCTTCCAACCCAACCAATCTGGGATCCTATGGCTCCATGATCCATAAGTTCCCTTCCAACCCAA